GGTTTTATTAGAATAGATGGTCATTAAATGCTTAAAATATGCAACTACCACATGATAAAACACCTTGGGGCACATTAATTCCGCATCATGAATTATAAGAAATAATAGAAGAAAAGCTCTACTGCCACTCCTCTCCGTGCACCAGGAAGAAGTAATGAAGCATGCTCTACAAAAGAAGTGACAAACAATCACTGTAAGCTAATTAGATTCACAATAGATAATCACACAATAACAGGTTCAGCTATTAGATTTAATAAGTCAATTAAATATCCAATAATTTGTTGCTAACAGTGTCATCTCTGCTGCTTAAGTGTTTAAAATTTAAAATCAAGATGGCTAGCTTTTGCACTTGATGCTAAAAACAACTGATTTGACTTTTTCCAGCATTATCTTCACAACAGTAAAACCAGGTAAGCCTATTTACAAAGTCAAATAGTACTACCTGTGCAAGTAATCACAATAAGGTAAGACTTTCTATACAAGGGAAATCATAAATGGATCTGCAATCTGCCTGTGCTCTATCCTGTGAGAAAATATAAGGGGAAGCTGAGGCTAACAGGTGGTTAAATCTCCTAAATAGTGGATAAGGGATATAATTACAGTATCAGTTATTACTGATACTAATAAAGAAGGTGTCAATGGATTGTTCTTCATATATATTAACAAGATTTACACAGAGGATCCCCATTACTGATTTTTATTATGGACCAGAAAAAATACAAAAAATTACAACTTGATGAATAGCCATACATAATAACCCATGGGAATGCATTATAAAGAGGCATATTATGGGCTGACACCATGTTATTCTGTTGTATATTCTTGAAATAATACTTGAAATTGTAATAACCACATTTTATTACAGAAATGGCAATACAAAAGAAAAACGCAAATGTCAGATATCATGAAACATGATGCAATTATTATAAACAACAGGAGTGGCCACCAACATGTCAGATATCATGAAACATGATGCAATTATTATAAACAACAGGAGTGGCCACCACCATGTAGCAGAGGAGAGAACGAGGGTCAGTTTGTGCAGAGTTAGATAGGAGAGCCTCATCACCTTTTACATCAACTCTCTTAACTTCATTCTCAACCAGGTTTCTTGTGAAGGAATCCGGGGTGGTAGAGGTGGTTGGGCGAGATTTATTGTGCATTCCATGTTAGATATGACAATTAAAAAAATGAATGAAGGGTAGCTGTTTACTCATTTTTTCTATCATTTTATTTAGCACCAGCATGTGTTGATAGTTAGCTTTGGGTGGTCTTGCATCAGTCATTATTTATTAATGATTCTGGAGGTAAACATTAACCCCTGCAGTTAATCTTTATGATAATGATGCACTAAGGTAAGGCAAAGTGAAGATGATATTCTTGTAGAGGACTAAAAGCTGTAGTTGTTTGTGAAAGATGTAATCTGCAGACACAAACATAAAGATTGTGGAAAGTGCCACCCACTGCCTAAGTTCAGTTCTATCTTGCAATGTATATAAGGTGAAAAATGTTTTCCCGGGGGTATTGAGGGGTGTGGGGAACGCGCTCCCCACACAGACCAAACTCTACAGTCTGGTATACATATTCTGAATTTCCTGTTCTTATTTTATCTTTATCCTTTTTCACTTTGTTGCTTCTTTTACTTTCAGTTTTTTTTATTACAATCAACTTTCAAAAACTATATAGTGAAAAAATGAAATGCAATTAATATTGCATCCACAAAATGTCAGACGAAAGAATGAAATGACAAATAATAGGACAAAGAATAACGGAGATCCCATGTTCCAATAAGATTGAATATAATGGCTGTGACAGCCAGGTTGGGCATGGGATATACCAAATCAAACATCATGAATATCCTACTATCAATAAATTATGCTCCTATCATGCACCAACTCCAAATTCATTTGTACTGGCAAAACAAAGCCTTTCTATAAATTCACTTTCTTTGTTACCCTGCCATGTCCCTAGTATAACGAATGCCCTTCCCATCCTTAAGAGTCAGTACTGTAGATACAATCTGATTACAACGTGAATAAATGTTAGTGTAGTTCAAAACAAACCTTATCAGTTTTACTTCGTCATGTCTTGATAACGTCACACTGAGGTTACGAGGAAATAGTTCAGTCACAATTGATTATGACATCATATAGCGATTCCCTAAAGACCAACGTTCAGCATAACCCTCGTACTGACCTTCACCGGGACTGCAAGACATCTGCAACACGGAACCACCTGTCAAAGCTCCATCCGGAACAGGTGCAGGAGCCACCTCATCTTGCAAGGCGGCCGTCCCATTTCCCTCCCCCACTCTCACATCTTGCTCCAGATCGGAACAAAGGACATTGCACGCGGAGCACAAACATAGGAGGATAGCAAAGGATGTGGAAAGATGCGGCATCACTACATGGTCTCGAGATAAAGCGAGAAATAAGAGGAGATGCGTGTTGATGCTGCTGCGTCTGTTTATAATAATCAGCTGATGGGACAACACTACTCG